ATATTGTTTGCTCCACAGTGAAACATTCACTGAAGTATTTTGTCACTGGATCCTCTGGAGTCCCAAACATCCCAGAGTTCATGGGTGTACTGGTGTTTAACGGCATCCAGGCGGGTTACTGTGACAGCAACAACATGACATTAAAACCAAAACAGGACTGGGCGAAGAAAATATTACAAACCAGTCCTGAGCAGAAGGAGTGGTACGATCACATGTGTTTCAAGAAACAGCCAAACTTCTTCAAAAACATGATTTCTCATTTGAAGCAATTCACCAAAAGTGAAGGTGAACCTCAGATCATTTTAAATCATGGGATATATCTAAACAAAACAGACTGATGTGAAAAGCTACATTTTACATTCTGTACTCCTAAAAGGACAAATTTTCAATTTAGAGTTTGCCTTGAAAAATTGTACTTTAACACTTTTTCATCTTTTTACAGCTGTTGCTATAATCAAGACATCTGTCACATGACTGATGCGATCAGTCGGTTTATGTGTTTTTTTCCTTCTTTTATCGTTTTCTTGTGGTCCTGTGATCTTCACATCAGGCCTGCCTTTAAAAGCTGCAGTGTTCCAGTTAGTTCATGCTAATAAAAATGATGACGACCATCTAATTATTGGACTCAAACCTTTGAAAATCGCAGTGCTTAACACAAGGTGCAATATATAACCGCTCTTTACGATCGCTGTTTTCTGTCTGTCTCTTCAGGTGTCCATGTTTTACAGAGGATAGGCGGCTGTGAACGTGATGAAAACACTGGTGAGCTGACTGGCTTAGTACACTTTGGTTATAACGGAGAAGACTTTCTTGAATTCAATCTGGAGACACTGACATGGATCGCACTGAAACCAGAGGCTGACATTATTAAACAGGAATGGGATGCTGACAGAGTTCGAACTAAACACAATGAAAACTTCCTCACTCAGATTTGTCCAGAGTGGCTGAAGACCTATGTGGACAGTGCAAAAAGCCCCTACAGAAATCAGGTAGAATCACATGACCTGATACACTTTAAATTTTATTTTTATGAGACTGATTTCGGGCAGATATTTTCTTCATATGTCCCGATTCAATTCCTCCACCTTTGTTCCTCTTTCCTTTTCTGTTTTTACTTTCCCATGTTATTCCATGCATTCTCCGTGCCGCTCTCCCCCACCCCCCACCCCCAGTTCTTCCCTCAGTGTCTCTCGTACAGAAGACTCCCTCCTCTCCAGTCAGCTGCCACGCTACAGGTTTCTATCCTGACAGAGCCGTGATGTTCTGGAGGAAAGATGGAGAGGAGCTTCATGATGGTGTGGATCCTGGAGAGATTCTCCCCAACAATGATGAGACCTTCCAGATGAGTGTTGATCTGAATGTTTCATCATTCACACCTGAAGAGTGGAGCAGATACGACTGTGCGTTTCAGCTCTCTGATGGTGAAGACAACATCATCACTAGCCTGAATAAAACAGTGATCAGAACCAACTGGGTTGAAAACATTACAAAAGGTGAGGGAAAATCATTTGATTTATTTTGTTTGCTTGGACTCTGGATTCTTGTTATTGTGGTGTTTGAATGTTTTATCCTGTTTTTGTTTGCGCCTAAAGCAGGATCTAAATAAATTTCAAAATTCAACAGTGTCTCTAATCCATAAAACCATTGGTTATTTATTTTTAGCCTTTCAATCGGGGAACATAATAGGTGTTAAAAGTCAGCCACATAATTTTAGTGTGTCTGCTCTGCTGAACTGAAATATGTCATGATATATGAGAAATTATGCTGTATTTACTTCCCCTCACCATTATGGGATTTATATTAGAACTAGGATAATACTACTTCTACTCTAACCTGCTTCTTGTACACATTTTATCTGGTTTGTTTGTTTTGACTGAGCAGAGAGGTCCTTGCACATGATGATCATTGCTGCTGTGGTTGTTTCTGTTGTTTTCTTCATCATTGGATTTTGTGTTTTCAAAAAGAAGAGAGGTGAGATATTCAGATGAGCAGAGCTTATACTCTGATACAAACTGCAAAACAGAATTTCTCTGACATTCTGAAATATTTCTTCCCTTTCTATTTCCAGAAAAAAAAAGTGAACAAAGTAAGTAAACTATTTTTCTTATTTACTCTGTATTAATGGTGTTGCATATAAAAGCAAGTCCAACAGCAGTGTGAGTAACAGTGTGTTTTGGATTTTACAGCTTCGGGCAACATCTATGGACTCTCAGAGAGACTGAATCCAGAGGCCCCGTGAACAAACACAGCACCCTATAGTCCAATATACACACCAACACATACACAAGTAACAAGCAGAGAAGATTGTTGATCATTTCATTATTTTATCTTTTTTTATTGATAACAGTTCTTCAATTTCTGGTATTTCTGTCCAGCATGAGTATTCAGTTGTTAAACCTGAATCTGCTTTTACTAAATAATTCTAAACACTTTCTCCTGCATCAAAATAAATTATGTCTGACATTACAGAATCTGCTCTACATGTATTATGTTCTTACCTGTCAAACAAGAACCTGGTGCACTGCTATCAGCAAGATCATTCAAAATACAGTATATCTCACCAATGATATGGAGATGACACACTTCATCAGTCCCAGCTGTTTTAATCATTGGTCTCAAAATTGAAAATAAGCTTGGTTTGTTGTCAAAATAAATTTGGCTTTCATGTTCCATTAAAAAAAGGAAATCTTTATAATTTCTGTCTGTCTCACCTTGACTGCTGTAAATCACTTTATGCTGGCTGCACTCAGACACTTACAGACTGCAGCTTCTACCTGAAAATTGCAAAGCAGTGAGAGACTTGAATATAACATTGCAATAGCTGTTGAACTACTCTGGCTACAAGTTAATGTGTGTATTGATTTTTATTTTTTTTTTATTATTATTATTAAAGCATCCTGTGGTGGTTATTTCAAGGTCTCTGTTTGATGACCAGAGGAGATGGACCATTTACCAACAGCACTCCCAAACTGATGAAACTAATTCAGATCAGACTCCATCAATAGTGTTTCATAAATCTCTTCTTATTTATTTTTTTGCTTTTAATCTGTTTTGTGTGTGTGTGTGTGTGTGTGTGTGCGTGCGTGCTTTCGGTGTGTTGGAAATTTTTTTGTTGTTGTAGTTCTGTAAAATCTTCAATTTATCCATAGTCACTCTCTCATTAACATCTGTTCATCCCGTGGACACCTGAGAGAGACCAGATATGCAGAACTAGCACAGTTGTGGATGGTTAAACAAAGAACAGGTCAATCCTGTTCCAAACCCTAAATATTTACTATATAAACAATGATCATGTTAAAAAAAGAAGGAAACATTGCCCTTATTATTGTTCTAGGTCTTTATGGACAGTATCCATTCCACTGCCAGCTACTGTGTACAAGTCATAACCAACAACCTTCTATATGTTGGTGTTATTTTCCTGCTACTCGGGTCATACAAGTCTTTGGCCTTAAAGGAAGATGATCCGTCTGTTGACTAAATAAACAACAGCTAAACTCAAAATAAAGTGATCGCTTTCATAGAATCTCAAAGAGCACTCTGTCCCATAAGTTTGTGTCATTGCCTGTTTTTCTCTAAGCCTTAAAATGCTAATGCATTTGACCCTTATGACAAAAAACATCACACTGCCCTTACATTTACTGATGAGAGGGATCTGCAAAGCTGGACTTTGGGTCACTCATGGTCACTCATCAAAGCTGTGTAGTGTCCCCAGACTAAACCTCTGGGTGCAAGGACATAGTCTTGTGTGGGGACACCAAAATGTGGAGATGGACAAGTCCATCCTGTTGCTCCGTTATCCATATTCACATGTGCCAGAGCTGGAGTCCAGCTGGTCTCTTTCTGCCTCTGTGACTGACATGGACGAGTCCTCAGAGGAGGCTGGAGAGCAGTTTTCTCTCTCAGAGTGCACAATCATTTCCAGAGTCTGCTGTATGCTGTACAGTCTAGTTTTACTTTAGTTCTTGCTCCCGGGCTAACTTTTGCAGCTCCAAAAGGTTAGCATAATTTATTATTATTAAACTAGTTTATAATTCAAAGAATGGTCTTCTAAGACAAAATAAGTTAGACATCACACACACACTCGTTTTCATATCTTAGTGAGGACATCTCATTCACATAATGCTTTCCTTAACCCTAACCATTAAAAATGAACGCCTAATCCTAACCCTGAGCCTAAACCTAATCATAACCTAATTATAAACTTGACCACAAGCTGCTATGAATAATAAAAACAAGTAGCGTCAACTGGTGGACGAACATAAACATTGAAAGCACGTAGTGCAGAATAAAGTCATAATAAAAAGGAATACATTAACTGACATTTTTTGTCCTTAGAATCAAATGTGTCGCTTTTGTGTAGCTTAGACATTTTAGTCTAATTTAAGGAACTGGGGTAAGTCTAAAATATTATAAAAAAGATTACCATCAGGCAAATATGAACTTATTTTAGCACAGCAAAATGGCACGAAAATGGGAGGGAATCGGGGTCTTTCACGATCCTATCGTTTCCGAGATATGAAGTGTATGTATATGTATTATGCATATGTATATGTAATATGTATTCTTTTTTTTAAATTAACGTCATATACAATTAAGTAGCACAAATGGACAAATAGCTGTGTCAGTGAGGGGAATTTAATTCTGGCCATAATAGTATTAACCGTTTGTATTGTGACTTTTCACTGGATCACTTGTGTCTGCAGGCTGACAATACTGCACCAAATGTTACATTGACAGGAATAATACATAATAGATATCCTAACAGTCTCCGGAACTCTGGTTTCCTAATGTTTACATAGAGACAATAAAATTTCTCGCATACTACAAGACTTATTTTTTATAACAGGAATTAGACTTATTTAAATCATCAAAGCTTCTTCTTCCAGTTTCAGTTTATGGCAGGTTATTAATCCCATATCAGTGGACATGCAACATAGAAGGAGAGGGGAGGAATCTGAACCTTGTACTCTGTCGGGCTTTCAAAAGCAACGTCCACCAAATTCACGGTTACCAATGCTGCTTTCAGGATAACGAGGAAATGAAGTTATTTTTGCTGTTTTTCTTCTGCCGTGATTTATTTGCAGGTAAGAAAAACTTAAATTTTGAAGCTGTGACAGCAGGCTCACCTGACCTCGACCAGTTTACTTTCGTTTTAATTTAATAAGTCAGCGTCGATAATTACCATGATCCCAATGTAAATTTTAATATTCACTTTGTGGAATAATAATGATACAGAACAGGATGAAAACCGATTCAGGATCAAAACCAATTTATCAGACGTGGATCAGCAATGGAATTTTATTGGCACTGTAGCATTTTTATTTTTTTTTCTCCCCCCTCCTCCTTCAAGCTCTGGTCCTACCAGAGGCCTGTGAGTTGATAACGAGCTGATAACGTGACTGTGTTAGTGTTTCATTTTAATGTCTGAATCTTAAAATATGTAAAATAGACTAATAAGTTCCATAGCTTAACACCCCCCCCCCCCCCCCCCCCCGCATTTTTACATATTAGACATTATCTTCATTACCACAGATATCAGATGTCTTGTGTTCTTCTATAGTACAGCTGTTACACATATACTATTTGTGTTTAATAGTGGAAAAGTAATAACAATGTAATAATACAGCTCTCCTCTGGATAAGTCCTCACACATTTCTAACAAATGAGTTTACCTGTATAGAAAACCATACTGATTTTTCTTTACCATCATTCTTCTTCTCTCATTCATCTTACCTGCCACTGGACACGTGGCCTCATCTGGTCAATATTTAAGCCACTACTATGAGCTGTTCTTTTATGTAATCACTGAAATAAACTAACTGCATCTGTGTATACACATTAGCGCACTTCTGGTAGACGACTCAAAGACTCGCAAGTGCATCATCATGCTAATTTGGCCTGTCAGTCACAAAACTGACACTGCATCTCTTTAATGAGATGAAACAGCAGTTTTTGTTTTGACTGGACCGTATTAAATTTGGCACTCGTTATCTAGATATACTAGATCACTGATTAGGTCTTTATTTAATCCATGAAATACTCTTAAAGTAACAACTGAATTTCAAATGATCAACCTAAATATAATATTTTTTTTGTCCTCACTTAGAAAAAACAAAGTGGACTACACCTATAGGCTGCTGACATTGTTTGCATATTTTTAATTATAAAACAATATTGTTTGTCTCACAGCAAAACACTCACTGAAGCATGTGGCCACTGGATCGTCAGGAGTCGCAAACATATCAGAGTTTTTGAGTGAAATGGTGTTTGATGGCATTCAGGCGGGTTACTGTGACAGCAGGAAAAAATTACTAGAACCAAGACAAGACTGGGCAAAGAAAATATTAGATGACAACCCTCAGCAGCTGAAGTCTTTGACTGTACAGTGTTTTGTGACTATGCCAAACTTATTCCGAGCCTGGATTTTTGGTTTACAGCAGCAGTTCAACCAACCTGCTGGAGGTAAAGTATTTCCTGTTATGCCTCATGTCAGATCATTATAAAACATTAGATATACCAAAGCAAATAAAGACTTTATAACAAAAAGTTATTTTGTTAATCATGAAAGATTTCAAGTTTTAATTTCGTTGGCCTCTTTCTTATTTGAGACCTTAAAACCATCATAAAAATACAAAAGTTTGTGTTAAAAAATGTTAAGATTTCAATTTTACTTATTTTAACAATAATAATATAATATAATAATAACAATCTTAAGAAAATATACATATCTCTATCTTCACATTCTTCTAAGATGACTCCTCTGCTGAATCATTTTCTTTCTCTTGTCCTTCTAAACCTTTTTTGTTTTAAACACAAATAACCAGACGTTAATTTGAATCTGCAATGTTTTTCAATTGATTAAATTATTCAACTACTAATACTCAAATCTTGGAGAATAGTAGTGCCTCATACAATGCACAACATTAATGCAGTTCACTGCAGTCTTTGTTTTCTTTCTGTCTCATCAGGCATCCACATTTTACAGAGTGTAAGTGGCTGTGAATGGGATGAAAGCACTGGAGAGATGATCAACTTTTTACGGTATGCTTACAATGGAGAAGACTTTCTTGAATTTGATATGAAGACATTAAGGTGGATCGTACTGAAACCAGAGGCTGTCATTACCAAACAGAGATGGGACACTGATGAAAATAGAATAAAATACACCATCAAGTTCCTCAGTACGACTTGTCCAAAGTGGCTGAAGATGTCTTTGGAAAGTGGGAAACGTTCCCTGCAGAGAACAGGTACAGTCACATAAGCTGATGTAGCTTGTGTTGCATCGTTTTCTAATAATACAGGTCTCTTTTAAAAGAAAATGGCACAAAAGTTTAAGCTGATTTCATATTTAATGATTTAGAAAGTAACTGAAACTGGGCTGGATCTCCTGTACATTTGTAAGATTTTATCAACACTTCCAATTTAACGTTTGATCAGAAACATTTTCAGGCACAAGTAGAATTTTCAAACGACATGCATCAGCAACCACTCTGTTATTTCTTTTCTATTTATTGTTTAATTTTCCCAGATACATTTTTGTCTTGTATGTATGACAGTGTTTTGACTGATGATGCTCTAATGTGTCATTTGTTTGTCAAATAAATGTCTGCAATTATTTATTAGATGTTATCAAGATGCTATAACATTGTCAGATTTGGAAAAAATGAAACCCTTCTTTTTATCCTTTTGATATTTTCTTCTCTTTCTTTCTCTCCAGTTCTTCCCTCAGTGTCTCTCCTCCAGAAGTCGTCCTCCTCTCCAGTCAGCTGCCACGCTACAGGTTTCTACCCTCAAAGAGCCGTGATGTTCTGGAGGAAAGATGGAGAGGAGATTCATGATGGTGTGGATCCTGGAGAGATTCTCCCCAACAATGATGAGACCTTCCAGATGTGTGTTGATCTGAATGTTTCATCAGTCACAACAGAAGACTGGAGCAGATACGACTGTGTGTTTCAGCTCTCTGACGGCGATGACATCATCACCAAACTGGATAAAAAAGTGATCAGAACCAACTGTGGAAAAATAATACCTGTCAGAGGTGAGAGAAACGTTTTGTTTGCTGTCTCGAATATAATGCTTGACTTTTTTGTTCTATATTTAATCCCAGGAGGAACAGCTGTCACTGTGGGGAAAATGAATGTCTTAATTTTTTTAATTATTATGTATTACAATCATTTTCTCTCTTTCATTGTAAATATAAACTGTTACTGTTGTTATTATTATTATTAAGAAACCCATTGTTGCAAAAGTTTCAAATCAGGTTAATTTACATAGCGCCAAATCAGAATAAAAGAAGAAAACCCCAGCAATCAAACTACTGTCTATAAGCAACACTTTAACAGGCTTAGAGAGGGGCAGCTATCTGCATCGACTGGTTTAGGGTGAGGGAAAGAGAAAAGAAGAGATATAAGAGAGCATGAAGCAGATAAATCACAGACTAACGTAGAAAGAAGAGAACAATGTGATGACATGTTACAGTGATATATGGGGAGTAAAGAGGAAATGCTCAGTGCATCACAGTGTATCACGTGACTTCCTAGAACAATCTGAACCTATAGCAGCATAACTAAAGGAGGTATAGAAAGTCACCTGATCTAGCCTTGACTATAAGCTTTATCAAAAGCAGAGATAGTGTCTGTCTCCTGAATCCAAACTGGAAGTTGGTTCCACAGAAGAGGGGCCGGAAAGCTGAAGGCTCTGCCCCCCATACTTGTAAATACTATAGAGAGTATGTTATGAGAGAAATATTGTTTCTCTTTCTCATCTCTGTCAATATTCTCGCTGTAGCTTTTTAAAGCTTTTTAGGAAATATTTAGGGGAAATTGATAATAATGAATGTCAGTAATCCGGCCGAGAAGTATTTAATCTATGAACTAGTTTTTTAGGATCACCCAGAGAGATGTTTCTCAATTTAGAAATATTGCACACACTACATATTAATTTAATTTGAACACTGAAGGATATATCCTGTTCAAAAATGACTCAGAGATTTTTCAGCAAAGCCATCCAGACTAAATTTTTACAGCCAAATGCAAGATTCTATGTTTTTAAAATATGCTGTCAGTTTAAGAGATTTGTATCAAATATGTGACAAATTACTCTTCATTTACCTAAACAAACTGAAAACTATCAGATAGATTCAAAACACATTTAAAACAGAACAAATGATCAGTTAGCTGTTTTACAACTACTCTTCCAGGATATTTTAAATATTACTTTATTTTAATATTACTCGTAAATATGTTTATTCTAACCTGCTTCATCTGCAGATTTGATTTTGTTTGTCTGTTTTTACTGAGCAGAGAATCCCTCTGACAGGATGATCTCCATCATTGCTGCAGTGGTTGTTCCAGTTCTTCTCATCCTTTTTGCTGTTGTTGGATTTGCTGTTTACAAGAAGAGGAAAGGTCAGAGAATCAAAGGAGCTGAGTTTATCAATGAACCAGGACCAGCAGTGCATGGTTCAGTTATATTATTTCTTTGGTATTGTTTATATTAGACACTTTTATTTTTGAATATATATGACAGAAACTTTGATTGTAATGTAGAACAAACGCCTGAAATGATTGCTTTTCTTTTTATTTCAGGCAGAAACTCAAGTTCACCGTGTAAGTACAACTTGTTTTACTCTGATATACAGTTTATGTATTTTATAAAGAATACCAGTGACTTTTCTTCTTTGGAAATAACAGTGCCTGGCAACACTGCTGAACTGTTGGAGAAACTGAAACAAGATCCACACATACAAACACTGGACCCAGAAAACAATGTTCAAATCTCCAGTTAAACGAACACATAGAAGAAGAATAGTTTGTTTATGTGAACTTTACTTTTTGTGGAAAACCGTTTTTCTCTTTTTGTTTTTTAATCCAAAGGATTGTTCAGTCATTCAAGTCAAACAGTTTTCATGTTTCACTATATTTTAACTGTTCTGTCTATAAATAATTTACTTGCACCATTTTGGTTATTCATTTATTCAGCAGAGAAGGTCAATAACATAACCACCTCCTTCATCACGTTGGTTTCTTTCATTATATTTTCATGACTGGAGACCTGGCTTATAATAACAGCAACAACAAAAAGTAATAAAATAAAATGAGGTAAAATACTTACATTTTTTTTTTTTATTTAGTTTTTTCTTTCAACTCTGCTATTTATTAGAAATTTTAAAGTTGAAACTGTTTTCTTCATGGAGTTATATTCTCAGTTAAATAATTCCTTTTTAATGGTATTACAAACATTGCAAGAGGTGCTATGTGTCTATTTCTTTATGAATCACACACACACACACACACACACACACACACACACTCACACACACACACACACACACACACACTGCTGTTTTCTGTTGACCATTGTTTAGTTTAAACAATGCTGAGAATTGTTGGGTTTTCTAACATAAAGAGACACTGAGGTCCATCCACTGTCTATGAGAGAAATATGCTTTTGAAAATAAAACCCACTGACATGGAAAAGCTATGTTTGACAGTGTGAAGATCAAACTGGATAACATCTACTCACAGATAATGAGTGTAAAATTCATGTTACATGGAACATCATTAAGATATGACAATGATAACAGAGGCCAGTAGGTGTCACTGTAGAGTCAGGTGTCAGATTGCATCAAAACCTCAAAACAATTCTGGCAGTTGTTGAAAGTTTTCTTAAAAACTCTGAAAACTGATAAATATTTGAAAATATATTTCAAAGTAACTGAGAAACATGTATGCTCAGGCAAAATCTGTGACATGTCAGTGGCAAATAAAAAGTTAACAACACAATTAACACTTATTAATGAATTCCTGGAACTGGCACAGTTTGTCACAAGAAACTCATTGAGGCTGCATAACAGACCTTCATAATTCAGTTATGGAACTATTTATTTAAAAAAAAATAAGTACACATTTTTGCATTTACTTGTTGATTTCTTTATTTTCCTTTTGTAAATGAATTTGTATTTCTTAAAAAAAGAGACTGTGGGAGAGAGAAATTCGACAGGTTTCTGTTTAAAAAAACATGTAAAAAGATTTAACACTTGATTTGGTGCATAAAGTTTGCTACTTTGTCAACTGTCTTGATGAGTTGTTTCTTATCTCATGTGTTAAACCCACATCTATGTTACGTCTGGAACTTTTTCTCTCAACCAAGAATGTTTTTAGTAACATTTGCAAACTGTACAAAAGATCACCTTCCCAAAAGACACAGTCATGAGAGTGCAGATAGTCATGAGAGTGCTTATCAAACCAGTGTACCTCCTCTCATAAAAGGTTAAGAAAATGAGTGGCTTGATTGTTTCTATATGTATCTGACAAAATAAATAAAGAAAAAGAACTCTATCGGGAAGTGACAAAGTCTGGGTGAGTGGGAATAAGGATATAACGAATGGTGGAATGCTAGAAGCTTGATTGCCAATGGTCCTTTTTTGAAACAACCCATTTTCAGTAAGAATGAGGAAACAGATCCTCCAGGAGTCATGGAGGTTTGTTAAAGATATCATCACTTTCAGGGTAATAGACACTGCATCTGAACTGGACGTTTTGGCTGGAAAGTGAAATATAATAGATAATCCATGCAGAAAAGTAGAGCTCAACTGACTTGAGGAAATAGGTGTAAATAAAAGGAGCGCTCTGTGTTGTAGAGGCATCAGTGCACATATGTGTTAAGGGGAAATGGCAACAGCAATTTCAAAGGTCAGGTGGTTCAGACCTGAGAGAGTTCCACAGGAGCGTGGATTTGTGACATAACAGACTTGAGAAATTTAACAAGCAAGATAATTATTAGTGTGGAGTTTGTGGCAGTATTGTAACATAAATCTTTCACAGGAAAATAATTCAGGGTGTAAAATCAGAAAGTTAATTCCTAAATAAATGGGAATGGCAAAGAGGAAGACTGGTAAGTCCTGCTTTGAGTAGCAGAGAGGATGTGGCACCAAGAAGAAAATGTCATACGTTTGCTGTTGTGCATTGTTCCAGTAGTTTAACTGAGGAAAGGAGCCAGGGGGAAAGAAAACCCCCATGATTCAATAATTCGTATTTGGACTTTATGTTTTTACCTTTGTGGATTACCTGCCAACAGATAACCAAACGTTTCACTTTGAGTCCAGTCTTCAGTCTTTAGTGTAATTCTCAGCCCAACACATTATTATCATTATTATTATTATGAAATATTATTGTCCACGAATCATCTTTTTTTTTAATTTCAAGAGGAATATAACCTGCTTTTCAATTTTTGCCTATTATATTTTCATATTAAATTACATTTTTTTAAACCAAAACAATGATATTATTTCTTTATGAAGAAAAAAGTGCTGAACTGATACTATGTTTTTTGAAACAATTTTATACACGCTCGTCACTTAGCATGTATGTCAGGGACAGGATAAAAGAGAGAAAACAACCTACACTTATAAATGTATATGTGTCTATATAATTAGGACTTTTCCTGTGAAAGGAACAGGAAGACGCCCTTATCCCACACGCACTGAACCTTTTTTTTTTTTTTTTAACTTTATTCACGTACTGAACCTAACGGGTTTCCGGTAACGGTACATCCAGAGTAAACAAGATCAACAGTTATTCTAACAGTAACTACAAGATGAGGACAGGATGACTTTATTCTCGCGGCTTCTTTTATTTTTATTTTTTTGTTTCATCTGCAGGTAATAAAACCTTTTGAATCTTTTAGCTCTAACAGCTTTTCACATCTGCAGCGCGTTTGCTTTAACGTTGTGTTAGTCTGACCTTTGTTAACTGAACTTCCTCACCCACATTCAGGAATAATAACCGAATCCTCTTCTTATAGATTTAAACGTAGTTTTTATTGCTAATCTTGTCTCACAGTTGGTCTTTGCTCACACTTGAAATAACTAAAAAAATAACTACAGGAGTTATATTTTTCATACTTTTTGGATATTTTATTTATCTAATCTTATAACATATTAAAATGCTTGTTTCACAGTGAAACACTCGCCGATAAATCACTTCACTGGATCTGCTGGAGTCCCAAACGTCACACAGTTTGTGGGTATTGCTGTGGTTGATGGCGTTGAGGCAGTTTACTTGGAGTGGTACAAACGTGAGTGCTTTAACATTCAGCCAAGCGCCTACAGAGCGCGGATTATTAGTTTGAAACAGCAGTTCAACCATAGTGAAGGTTACGGTATTTATTTATTTCTTCTTATATACCTTCTGTCTGATTATTATAAACCATGAGATACACCTAAGGAAAACTATTTTGCTAGTTGTTAAAGATTTAAAGTTTTAATGTTGTGCTTCTCAGATGAGATCAGGAATGATCAGACTTTACTAATATCAACATCTCTTAAAAAGCATGACAAAACAATGCGTTTACAGAATTGTTCAAAATTTTAGTCTTTTAGATTAATATATGTATCATAGTTCAGTCTCTCTCTCTCGTTCCACGTTTTTGCATCTTACAAACTAGAAGTGGCTGTGAATATGAGGAAAGCACTGGAGAGAAGTCTGGCTTTTTGAAGTATGGCTTTATTGAACCGGATCTGAAGACACTGTCATGGGCTTCACTGAAGGCTGACGCTACCAAACAGAGCTGGGATGCTGACAGTAATAAAACAAAGCTAAATGAAGTGTTCCTCACTGACATCTGTCCAGAGCGGCTGAAGATGTTTTTGGACGGTGGGAACAGCTCCCTGCAGAGAACAGGTAGAATCACATGACCTCGTGAATGCAGTGGTGTTTATTTTATTTTGAGTTATCTTTCTAACAACACAGTTATCTTTTAAAGGACAAAGCTTTGAGGCTAATTTTGTATTTAATGATTTTGAAGGTGAATGAAAAAAGTTGTGTACAAACACTGCTCTACTGCTACATTTTATGGACAATTATGGACAATTATGTTGATAGCATTCATTTATTTTTTTTACTTTTGAAATCCCTTTTAAATGCCCAGGGTTCAATTCTGAATCATAGAGCAGTTTTATGAGACACCAAACAAGCAGGAAAGATGAAGAAGAAATTAGCATCAAAACAACAAGACAGGGGTGGTGCAGTTTTAATGAGGTAATTATAGCACAATAAAAGCAGATAGACCGGCAAGTTTAAAAATGGAACATCACCATAAACATGTTAGACCACCTGGTAAAAATGACAAACACCAACTCATCTCTGAATACGTCCACTGAAACTCCCGGAAACCCAGCAGGTGTGACATCACCGTGCAGAAGGTGATAAAAGACCCTCCCATCTATTCCAGCATATATACCCAACATTAAGCCCCAGGAGCCTCCTCGTACTAAAGCTGAATTGCAGCAAATGCTGAAGAATGGAGAAAGAGCAGCAGAATCCAAGAGAGAAGAAGCTGTAGAAGAAAGTAAATCCTTCAGTCTGCAGAGGTGAAGTCCTCCAATGGCTCCACAAAAGTTTTATTGTAACTTTTTGTGATAACTCCACAGTAGACCGGTCCACGTTTCAGTGCTTTTCAGCATGCTTTATTTTCTCACACGGTTGCTGTTCAACCCTTGGCTGCAGCTTTACAGCTCAATGCCGGACACATTACCAACAACAACGACATTCTAATGACAGCACAGACTTTTAAGCCGGCGAGGCGTGATTGCAGATGCTGCGCAGGTGAATCCATCCCACCATGTATATTTTCTGTCTTCTTTTCCAAACTGCCTTGATAACATTTTTATTGTTTAAAAAGTCAGGTATTATCTCAAAACCCTTTTAAAACCAGTGATGATGTTATATGGCCACAATAAATGTAATTATTTCTTTTTAAATTTAAGAGAAGCTATTATTTTTAACTGAAACATGGCTGGGTTCGGATGCACCAGTTGTTCTCACTGAGGCCTCCCCACCAAATTTTAATTTCTCTTTTTCTATTAGAAGTGGTAAGAGAGGTGGTGGGACTGCATCTTTAGCCAACAACACACTCACCTCCAAACAAATTTTATTTGATCATTTTACCACTTTTGAATTCCATGCTATTGTTTTCAGCAGCCCTCCAGTTTTATCTGTCACAGTTTATAGACCACCTAAAGACAGCGCTGCTTTTATCAAGGAATTCTCAGAATTTTTAACAAACATACACTCAAAATATAATATGATAATTTTAACCAGTGATTTTAACCTGCACATAGATAATCCTTCTGACCCTGCATCAAAAGAATTCTTACACATTCTTCACTGTTTGGATTTTACCAGCACGTCACACAGCCGACTCACAACAGAGGACACACTCTGGAATTGGTCATCACCCATGGGCTGTCCACCAGCGTGTCCTCTGTTGTTGACTTGGCTGTCTCTGACCACTACTGTGTGTTTTTTAACATCACCGGTTTTATTCAGTGGGAGACCTCAGTGCGAACTGTGAGGAGGCGCTATCTAACCTCTGAAGTGGCTGCAAATTTTACCAGGGTTTTAGACGAATGCCCCCCTGTGATTCTACCTGCACCCTGTGATTTGATTTTTAATCATTTTAACAGCAAACTGAAGAAATGCATTGACTCCGTTGCTCCACTCACCACCAAAAATATTAACGTAAAACATGCATCACCCTGGAGAAATGAAGAAGTCAAAAAACTCAAAAGAAATTGCAGGGCAGCAGAAAGGAGATGGAGGAAAAATAAAAATACTATCAACCATCAAATATTTTGCGAGCAACTTAAAATGTACAATAATAGGCAAGGCAAGGCAAATTTATTTGTATAGCACAATTCAACAACAAGGTGATTCAAAGTGCTTTACAGAGACATTAGAAACAAAAAGAAATAAAAAGCATGATTTAAGATTGATTAAAACAAGCAAACAAACAAACTAACTAAACACACACATTCACATTCACACCTGTTCGCGCGATCTGAACCCTTATCGTAAGGGGAGCTACCAGTCCTTCTGTGGATGAGCTACTTTCTATTTTAAATTCCCTGAATTTAAAATACTCTCTAGACCCAGTCTAGACCCAGCTGGGGAGCTACCCAGAGCTCTAAACCCTTATCGTAAGGGGAGCTACCAGTCCTTCTGTGGACGAGCTACTTTCTATTTTAAATTCCCTGAATTTAAAATACTCTCTAGACCCAGTCTAGACCCAGCTGGGGAGCTACCCAGAGCTCTAAACCCACTTAACAAACAAACAAACAAACAAACAAAACAGTATATAAAATCAAAACAGATAAATCAAAACAGTAGATAAAATCAGTAGTTAATGTAAGTTTTGAAATTTAAGCTTAAAAGTGTGGATTTGGTGCTTTATTCAAATGCAGCTGAGAATAGGTGAGTCTTCAACCTGGATTTAAATAAACTGAGTGTTTCAGCTGATCTGAGGCTTTCTGGGAGTTTGTTCCAGATATGAGGAGCATAAAAGCTGAATGCAGCTTCTCCGTGTCTGGTTCTGACTCTGGGAACTGATAAAAGACCGGATCCAGATGACCTGAGGGATCTGGAAGGTTCATACTGGGTCAGGAGGTCACTGATGTATTTTGGTCCTAAACTATTCAGAGCTTTATAGACCAGCATCAGAACTTTAAAGTCTATCCTCTGACGGACAGGCAGCCAGTGTAAAGACCTCAGAGCTGGACTGATGTGGTCCACTTTTTTGGTCTTAGTGAGGACTCGAGCAGCAGAGTTCTTTTTTTTTTTTTTTTTTTTTTTTTAATAGGACAGGGGGAAAGAATGAAAGAAAGAGGGGGAGAGAAAGAAAGAAAACCAAAGGGGAGAAGAGACGGTGAGAAGGGGGGGAAGAGAGAAAAAAAAAAAAAAAAAAAACAACAAAAAAAAACTCCTGGGTCACCTGTATGGAGAAAAAAAAACAAAAAAACAAACAGAGGAGACAGCAAACAACAAAGAGCAACATAATAATAGAAAGAAAAAAAGCACCATCACAATAAACTAGCTAGTCATAGATATCAATAGTTACTAAATAATAGACGATATTGTTCAGCACGCAAGATAGACAGCGCACAGAGCAGCAGAGTTCTGAATGAGCTGTAGTTGTCTGACTGATTTTTTAGGTAGACCTGTAAAGATGCTGTTACAGTAATCAAGCCTACTAAAGATGAATGCATGGACTAGTTTTTCCAGGTCCTGTTGAGACATCAGATCTTTTATCCTTGATATATTCTTGAGGTGATAGTAAGCTGACTTTGTTATTGTCTTAATGTGTTTTTCTAAGTTTAGGTCTGCATCCATCACTACACCCAAATTTCTCGCCTGGTTTGTGGTTTTTAGATGTATAGATTGAAGTTCTCTGGTGACCTGTAATCGTTTTTCTTTGGCGCCAAAGACTATTACCTCAGTTTTGTTTTTGTTTAGCTGGATAAAATTGTGGCACAACCAGTCATTAATTTCCTCAATGCATTTACCAAGAGCCTGTACAGGGCCTTGGTCTCCTGGTGACATTGCGATATATATTTGTGTGTCATCTGCATAGCTATGATAGTTTATTTTGTTGTTCTTTATAATCTGTGCCAGTGGGAGCATGTAAATGTTAAACAGAAGGGGTCCCAAGATGGAACCTTGGGGAACTCCACATGTGATACTTGTCTGCTCAGATGTGAAGTTACCTATTGATACAAAGTATTTCCTGTTTTCTAAGTATGTCTTGAACCAGTTTAGTACAGTTCCTGAAAGACCTGTCCAGTTCTCCAGTCGTTTGAGTAATATGTTGTGGTCAACTGTGTCAAATGCTGCACTGAGATCCAGTAAAACTAAGACTGACATTTTTCCACTGTCTGTATTCAGACATATGTCATTAAACACTTTGGTCAAAGCGGTTTCAGTGCTGTGGTTCTGTCTAATACATTAAGGAATTCAAGAAATTCATACTTCGCCAAAATAATCAGTAATAACAAAAATAATCCCAAGGTCCTCTTTTCCACCATAGACCATAGATCATTTATTTAACCCTGATTTTAACAGCTCCCAAAGAACCCCCACAGACTCGCTCTGTGAGCAGTTTGCAGACCACCTCAGGGGAAAAATCAGAGCCATCAGATCTGATATTTTATCTAATCGCGATATGATTTTAAACACATCTGAGGGCTCGATTGTACCCGAGGAGACACTGGACAGCTTTGTCCTGGTTAATGCTGAGAACCTTAAGAAAGTTTTCTCCACAGTGAGACCCACCACATGTCTTTTATATCCAATCCCTTCTTCACTCTTTAAAACACTTTATGGATTCTTTGAAGCTGAGCTTTTATACATGATGAATTGCTCTCTTCAGTTGGGTGTCTTCCCTGTTGCCTTTAAAACGGCGGTGGTGAGGCCCCTTCTGAAGAAGAGCAATTTGGATTGTAATGATTTTAATAACTACAGACCTGTATCCAACTTACCATTTTTAAGTAAAATCTTAGAAAAACTTGTTTTTACTCAGATTACTGATTTTCTCAATGATAGACAGATCCTGGAGATATTCCAGTCTGGATTTAGGGTGAACCACAGCACAGAGACCGCTCTCCTAAAGGTTCTAAATGATCTTAGATGTAACTGGGACGCCCAAAAGCTCTCAGTCCTGGTGCTACTGGATACAGTAGACCACGCTATTCTTTTAAACAGACTGAAACACATGGTGGGCCTCTCTGGTGCTGTACACAACTGGATCACTTCCTATCTCTCAGACAGAACTTTTATGGTGAGTATGGATACATGGGTGTTATTTTTGACTCTGAGCTTGGTTTTATCCCACATATTAAACATGTAACCAAAATTGGATTTTATCATCTAAAAAATATAGCCAGAGTCCGCCCTATTCTCTCTCGGGCCAACACAGAGATGCTGATGCATGCTTTTATTACCAGTCGCATTGATTACTGTAATGCCCTACTCTCTGGTCTTCCTAAAAAGAATATTTCAACTTTACAACTTTTACAAAACTCGGCAGCTCGTGTGCTGACGAAGACCAGAGGGCGGGCCCACATTACACCGGTTTTAGAATCGCTGCATTGGCTCCCCGTGTGTTTCAGGATCGATTTTAAAGTTCTTTTATTGGTTTTTAAATGTCTTAATGGTCTTGGGCCTTCTTATCTCTAAGATCTGCTTTTACCATATGAACCCTCGCGGACCCTGAGGTCCTCTGGTACTGGCCTTTTGATTGTCCCTAAAGTCAGGACACATACTCACGGAGAGGCAGCTTTTCAGTGGTATGGTCCTCGTCTGTGGAACAGCCTGCCGGAGGAGCTCAGGGCCGCAGTGAACGTACATGTTTTTAAGAACAGGCTCAAGACCCACCTTTTTAATTTAGCTTTTACTTAACGTTTATGTTACAGGTACCGGGTGGCAGCACCTGTAGACAGCTATATATGTGTCCTGTAAACAGGAAAGAAATGATCAGACAGGGAGACGTGGCTTGCCGTTTCCTGAACACTCCGCCATTATTTATTCAAATTCACAATTAT